CCATCCACCAGCGTGTGGGGTTTGTTTGCCCCGTTCTGCTTGCAGTTCACCCTGATTGAGTGACCGCAGCGGGCTCCCACGGGCAGCATCGTCGCAGACGGTAACGAGTAATTAGCAGCTGGTCCGCAGTGCCTGGTCTCTTCCCTGCCGGGGGAGGCTGGTGTCGGGAAAAAGTCTCCCCGAATTGCTTCAGAGACCTGCTCCAAAGTTAATTCTTCTCTTGCCTTTTTACAACCGACTTTTACAAACCACACAGCCTAGAGGACTCCTGGGGGACGGGCTCTGGGAGGGAGTTGGGGTGCGGGGTCTGGGCTGGGGCAGGAAGAGGGGATGTGGGGGAACGGGCTCTGGGAGGGAGTTGGGGTGCCAGGGGAAGGTTCTGGGAGGGAGTTGGGGTGTGAGGTCTGGGCTGGGACAGGAGGTGGAGGTGTGGGGGGTGGGTTCTGGGAAGGAGTTTGGGTGCAGGGTCTGGGCTGGGGCAGGAGGAGGGGATGTGGGGGGGATGGGCTCCGGGAGGGAGTTAGGGTGCGGGGTCTGGACTGGGACAGGGGGTTGGGGTGCAAAAGAGGGCTCAAGGCTGGGGCAGAGGGTCAGGTGCGGGGGTGAAGGCTGTGGGATGAGGCCTGGGATGAGGGGTTCACGGTGCAGGAGGGGGCTCAGGGTGGGGCAGAGGATTGGGGTGGGGGGTGAGGGATCTGGCTGGGGATGCGGCCTCTGGGGTGGAGTGGTGTCACGGCGTCCCCAGGCAATGCTCTGGACCTGCTCCCTACAAAGCCAGGCAGGACTCTGGGGAAGTCCACTCTCTCGGAGCTTGTTAGCACAGAAATCAGGGACTTTCAGCCAAATCCATCTTGGGGGAGGGGAGCCCAGAGCCAGGACTCTGCCCTCCCCCTGCGCCCCAAGCCAGCCGAGACTGACTCCTTCCAGCTGCCTGGCCCGTTGCTGCTCCTCCGTCCTTTGTCTCTGTTTCCTGGGCCAAGAGTCACCTGGTCACATCCCCCTCCTGGGTCTCAGGTGATGAAAGGGCGGCCACAGCATCCCTGCAGGCAGCTGGAGCAGCCTCTGCCAAAGTCACACATGCTTATTCCCACCACCTAGACATTGATGCAATACACAGGGAAACTGAGGCACACAGAGCATCCACGCGAAACAGCAGGACACGCACAACATAACAAGGGAAAATCCCCACTTTGTCACAGCCACATTGGCCAAACCCACCCGAACGAATCTTGAGCGATGCATGGCAGATGCCATTGTGAACAGCAAGCATCGGTGAACTGGTGATTTCACCCCACACAGACACGCCCGGGGAGAAAGAATTGCCTTCGACAGCTCGACAAAGAGCGAAGAAAAAGAAAACCAAATATGAACGACTTAGCTGCAGGACTCAAGAGCGTCCTTACCAAGTTTGCAGACGACACAAAGCTGGGGCGGGATGGGGATGAGGCGGGGTGTGACGTTGCACTCCATATGATGTTATGAAAATATGCTAATGAGTGTGAATATAACGTCACTGGAACATGCTTCATGCAAAAGGTCTCTTGTAAGGTCTCATGACAAAGCTTATGATCTACTGAGTGTGGTCATCCTAGTTGTATGAATGTATCACTCTTGTATCTGAAACTAGAAATACGAAATACAACTCTGAGGGCCTATTGTAATTATGCAAAATGTGGGCCATTAATGGTGGTTGGGAATCTTGATGGCTCCCATTGACCAGGACAATTGACTGTGGATGGCTGTTTGCTTGCAGGCCTTCCTGTGAGTCAGGCCGGGAAAAATGAAGGCTTGGGGGTCTCACAGGACATGTGACCATGTCCCCTGGTACTGGAATCCATCTTAAACCTGGGGCTTTTCTACTTAGAAGGAGGGGGTGGGGACCCAGAGGGAAAGACAAAGGATTCCCGCCTTGGGCCAAAGTTATAAAAGGGCATGGAACAGAACAAAGGGGGCTGCAGTCATGAGAAATCCCCAAGTTACCACCTGAGCTGGAACAAGGACCGTACCAGGGGAAGGACTGGGCCCAGACTAGGAAGGAGTCTAGTCTGTGAAAGAAGCTTATTGGGACATCTCTGAGGGTGAGATTTACCTGCATTTAGTTTCCTACTGTATTAGGCTTAGACTTGCGTGTTTTTGTTTTATTTTGCTTGGGGATTGTCAAGGTTCCTTCCCCACTCTGAACTCTAGGGTACAGATGTGGGGACCTGCATGAAAACCCCCTAAGCTTATTTTTACCAGCTTAGATTAAAACTTCCCCAAGGTACAAACTATTTAGCTTTTGCCCTTGGACTTTATTGCTGCCACCACCAAGCGTCTAACAAATATATAACCGGGAAAGAGCCCACTTGGAAACGTCTTTCCCCCCAAAATCCTCCCCAAACCCTACACCCCCTTTCCTGGGGAAGGCTTGATAAAAATCCTCACCAATTTGCATAGGTGACCACAGACCCAAACCCTTGGATCTTAAGAACAAGGAAAAAGCAATCAGGATCTTAAAAGAAGAATTTTAATTGAAGAAATAAAGTAAAAGAATCACCTCTGTAAAATCCGGGTGGTAAATACCTTACAGGGTAATCCGATTCAAAACAGAGAGAATCCCTCGAGGCAAAACCTTAAGTTACCCAAGGACACAAAAACAGGAATCTACATTCCATTCAGCACAGCGAATTTTATCAGCCATTTAAACAAACAGAATCTAACGCATATCTAGCTAGATTACCTACTAAGTTCAAATTCCTTTTCTGTTCCTGGAAAAAGCATCACACAGACAGAGAGAACCTTTGTTTCTCCCCCCTGCCCCCAACTTTGAAAGTATCTTGTCTCCTCATTGGTCATTTGGGTCAGGAGCCAGCGAGGTTATCCGAGCTTCTTAACCCTTTACAGGTGAGAGGATTTTTCCTCTGGCCAGGAGGGATTTTAAAGGTGTTTACCCTTCCCTTGATATTTATGACAGTAATTTACTTTCTTCTGTCTGTCATTACTTGGAACCACTTAAATCCCACTTTGTGTATTTAATAAAATCACTTTTTACTTATTAATTAACCCAGAGCATGTATTAATACCCAGGGGAGCAAACAGCCGTGCATCTCTCTCTATCAGTGTTATAGAGGGCGAACAATTTGTAAGTTTACCCCGTATAAGCTTGATACCGAGTAAAACAGATTTATTTGGGGACCCCATTGGGAGCTGGGTATCTGGGTGCTGGCGACTGGAGCATTTCTTAAGCTGTTTTCAGTTCAGCCTGCAGCGTGTGGGGGACGTGGTTCAGACCTGGGCCTGTGTTTGCAGCAGGCGGGCGGGTCTGGCTCGACAAGACAGGGCGTGGAAGTCCCACGCTGGCAGGGAAAATGGGCTCAGGGGTAGTCCCAGCACGTCAGGAGGCAGCTCCCAAGGGGGTTTCTGTGCCCCAACTCGTCACAGGGGTGTTGCCAACACTTTTTTGGAGGACGGAGCTAAAATTCAGAGGGATCTGGATAGAACTGGGCCAAACTGAAGTTGGACAAAGACCACTGGACGGTGCTATATTTAGGGAAGAAAACCCAAATGCCCCAATTACTCCCGGGGGAATTCTGCGCCCCCAAAAGTAACAATTCTGCGCACCCTAGTTTCAAATTTTGCATCTTTTATCTGTCAAAAATAACACGATCTAATCACACCAGTTTCAATTATTTTTGGTCATTTATTGCACAGTACCCGTCAGCAAGTGTTTCTGTAAGAGTACAGCCAACAGGAAAGATTCAGGAAATGCTTTTTTGACAAATCGATTCCTTACGGGCCATATAAATACAGAGCTTTGAGTAACAATTCATTTAAACTACAGTACAGAACGGTGTTCCCTGCCCCCCTCAGAAGCAGGGCAAAGGCTGCGGGGAGTAAATTGCAGGGAAGGAGCCTGGGTGTGAAGTTGGAGGTTTGTTGGGTTTGGGTGGGGGAAAGTCTGGAACAGGTTTTCTTTGGGGGGAGGGAAGGGATTGCTAGGGAGCCTCCCCCATGCAGACCCTGGCTGCCCCCTAGCCACTCCCATTCAGGCACATCTGCCCCATCCCCATGTGGTCCTGCACCCCCATATGTCCTTGCACCCTGTCAAGGTTCCTTTCCCACTCTGAACGCTGGGGTACAGATGTGGGGACCTGCATGAAAACCTCCTAAGCTTACTTTCACCAGCTTAGCTTAAAACTTCCCCAAGGTACAAACTATTTTACCTTTTGCCCTTGGACTTTATCACTGCCACCGCCAAACGTCTAACACCGGTTACTGGGAAAGAGCCCGTTTGGAAACGTCTTTCCCCCAAAATCCTCCCAAATCTTACAATCTCCTTTCCTGGGGAAGGTTTGATAAAAATCCTCCCCAATTTGCATAGGTGACCACAGAGCCAAACCCTTGGATCTTAAGAACAATGAAAAAGCAATCAGGTTCTTCAAAGAAGAATTTTCATTGAAGAAAAAGTAAAAGAATCACCTCTGTAAAATCCGGGTGGTAAATACCTTACAGGGTAATCCGATTCAAAACAGAGAGAATCCCTCGAGGCAAAACCTTACGGTACAAAAAGACACAAAAACAGGAATATCCATTCCATTCAGGACAGCTTATTTTCTCAGCCATTTAAACAAAACAGAATCTCACTAGATTGCTTATTAGCCCTTTACAGGAGTTCTGACCTGCACTCCTGCTCCGGTCCTGGCAAAAAGCAACACACAGACCGAGAGAGCCTTTGTTTCCCCCTCCTCCAGCTTTGAAAGTACCTTGTCTCCTCACTGCTCATTTTCGTCAGGGGCCAGCGAGGTTATCCGAGCTTCTTAACCCTTTACAGGTGAAAGGCTTTTTCCTCTAGCCAGGAGGGATTTTAAAGGTGTTTACCTTTCCCTTGATATTTATGACACCCCCCCTGGCAAATATGTCCCTCACCCCAGCTCAGACACCCATTCCCCCTGTGGCCCTGCACCCCCACTCACACCCCCTGCCCCCATCCCCATGTGGCTCTGTCCCCCCTCCCAGCCACTCCCATGTGGTCAGTGCCCCCTAGAGGGGACAGGCCCCAAGCCCCATTCCCCGCCCTGGGGCTGGGTGGGAGTTGCTGCCCCTAAGAGGGGAGAGGCCCCGTCCCGTTGCACCGTTGCTCCTCGTACAACCCCCTCCACACCTCCTCCACTCTGTCCAGCGACAGCCCGTGCACCATCAGTGCCTCCGCGTACAGACACAGCTCGTCCTTCATGCCGAAGACCCGGAATCGGTCATCGTGCCGGTACCGCAGCCCGGCGGCCAGGACCAGGAAGCCGAAGTAGACGTCATCCAGCGGGAAGACGGGGATGCGCTCGGTGGCCGCGGCCAGGGCCAGGATGCTGGCCCTGGGCATGAGGAACCCGCCCCCGGAGGGGAAGAAGGGGTATTTGCCCTGGGGGAACAGGGTGGAGGAGACACGATATTTCCCAGCTCTCATCACGACTGAATGTCGCTGGATGTTACCGTGGATGACCTGGGAGGCGTTGGGTGTCTGGCCCACGTAGGTCACCAGGGCGGGGGGGTTCATAAACTCGTCGTCGTCGCCTGGAGGAAGGAAAAGACGCTAGTGAGGGTGCAGCTGGGGGCCGGATGGCCTCGCCAGAGCCCGGGAGAGAACCCAGGAGTCCTGGCTCCCAGCCCACCCATCTCTAACCCACCAGCCCACACCCCCCTTCCAGAGCTGGGGAGAGAACCCAGGAGTCCTGGCTCCCAGCGCACCCATCTCTAACCCACCAGCCCCCACTGCCCACCCAGAGCTGGGGAGAAAACCCAGGAGTCCTGGCTCCCAGCCCACCGCCCATTCTGACCCACCAGCCCTCCCTCCCCTACCAGAGCTGGGTTGAGAACCCAGGCGTCCAGGCCCACCTTTGAAGATGAAATCCGCCTGCCCGCAGCGCGCCCCCACCCAGCGCAGGAAGCAGAGCTCCTTGAGTGACAGGTTGTGGTGGCTCTCGGCGAAATCCCACAGCACCACGTCCCCAAATTCCTGACTCTCCTCTTCCAGCAGCACCATGTGCCGGGGGTCGGGCGACACCCCCACGAGGAAGACGGGGCGGACCCGGTAGCCCTCCAGGAGCCTGGGCCGGGCCCAGGTGTGGCGGGCGGTGGCCCGTCTGGCGGTGGACGCTGGGTGGGATTTCACGGCCAGGAGCAGCAGGGGCTGCCCCGGGGGCCCGGAGCAGACGCCGTCCCCTGGGATCCGCTCCCGGCACCGGTAGCTCTGCAACTGGGGGAACTCAGCCTGGAAGGCGGTGTAATTCAAGCGGAAGGTGTAGGTCCCGTCGCTCAGCTCCACCGAGCCGGGGCCGGGGCCGGGGCCGGGGCTGGGGCTGGCCTGCAGGTTCTGTCTCGGCTTGACGTACACGGTCCAAAGCAGCCCAACACCGCGACTCCCTAAACCCGCCCCCACCACCACGACCACCATCCCCACCACGACCACCGTCCCCGCCACGAACACTTTCTTCAGAAACGCCGGACGGCTCCACCGAATCATTTCCGCTCCCGTCGAGCCTCGACTGAAAGTGAAAAAAAAAAAAGCAGAAACTAGTCCACAGTGTGTTGTACAAACACGGAAGCAGGACTGAATATGGAACCCAGGAATCCTGGCTGCCAGCCCGCCCTGCTCTAACCCACCAGCCCCCCTGCCCACCCAGAGCCGGGGAGAGAACCCAGGAGTCCTGGCTGCCAGCCCGCCCTGCTCTAACCCACCAGCCCCCACTGCCCTCCCAGAGCCGGGGAGAGAACCCAGGAGTCCTGGCTGCCAGCCCGCCCTGCTCTAACCCACCCAGCCCCCACAGCTCACCGGCACCGGTAGCTTTGCAGCTGGGGAAGCTCAGTCTGGAAGGCGGTGTAATTCAAGCAGAAGGTGCAGGTCCCGTCACTCAGCTCCACCGAGCCGGGGCCGGAGCTGGCCTGTGGGGTCTCTCTCTGCTTGAGGCTCATGGTGTAGGATAGCCAAAAAAGAACCCCAATCAGCAGGATCCGAGTGCCCCAGCGCTTCATCTCCTCTCCCCCCAGGGCTTGGCTGACAGTGAAACAAAGGGAGGCGGAAACTAGCTCAGGATGTGTGGAACAAACACTGGGCTAGGGCTGAATATATAACTCAGCAGACCTAACACCCAGCCCCCTCCCCCCGCTCTAACCCATCAGCCCCCACTCCCCTCCCAGAGCCGGGGAGAGAACCCAGGAGTGCCCCCCCTGCTCTAACCCACCATCCCCACTCCCCTCCCAGAGCCAGGGAGAGAACCCAGGAGTCCTGGCTCCCAACCCCCCCTGCTCTAACCCACCAGCCCCACTCCCCTCCCAGAGCCGGGGAGAGAACCCAGGAGTCCTGGTGTGATGAAGTGGGGCTGTTCTTAAAGTTCTCTCTGAATAGTGTGGGAGTGCCTCAGTTTCCCCTATGTCTTTATTAAGTCTCTAGGTGGTGGGATAAGGGGGGGTGTGATTGTTGCAGAGCCCTAGAGGGCCAGCTTGATGGTGTCTGCACAGAGAATGGTCAACACCCTGTCTCCTGGCTACTGATGGCCTGGGCCCTTCCCCCCTGCAAGGTGCCAGCTGAAAGTGTTGGCGAACAAAGAGATCAAGTGGCCTCCTGGCCTGGGATAGAGACAAAGGCCAGATGGGGGAGGGGGGGAGAGTTTCAGTTTTGGAGCCGGCTGGGGAAATGGAGGGAGGGCCAGATGGGGCTCTGGCCTCCCTGGCCCCCAAGACAGACCAGGCTGAGAGGTCCGGTTCTCTGCACCTACAAGCTCTGTGTTAGATCATGTTCTTGTCGTCTAATAAACCTTCTGTGTTACTGGCTGGCTGAGAGTCCTGTCTGACTGCGGAGTTGGGGGGCAGGACCCTCTGGCTTCCTGAGGACCCTGCCTGGGCGGACTCGCTGTGGGAAGCGCACGGAGGGGCAGAGGAGGCTGAATGCTCCGAGGTCAGACCCAGGAAGGGGGAAGCTGTGTGAGCTGTGTGTCCTGCAGACAGGCTGCTCACAGGAAGGAGACTCCCCCAGAGTCCTGACTGGCTTCGTAGGGAGCAGTTCCAGAGCATCGCCCGGGGACGCCGTGACACCTGGCTCCCAGCCCCCTGCTTTAACTACTAGACCCCATTCCCCTCCCCCAACTGAGGAGAGGACCCAGGCGTCCTGCGGTTCCTTCAAAGATGGTAACTCCCCTCAATGTGTCCGACATTCCGGGGTGTTACACAAAGCTCCAGGGTCGGGTCCCCGGCGTCCCCTGGCAAACGCGGGCAGGAAAGGTTGAAAAAAAGGAAAGCTATGGAAAGGAAAGCGACGGAAACGCCGTATCTGGACAGGGTCCGATCAGGCGTTGATTTTCCCCTCACCCCGACACTCAGCGTTTTCAGAACCCAAAGCAGGGGTCACTTCGCTGCTGCCCTCGTGGCCGTGTGCGGACGAAATCCGTGGGAACCCACCGCCTCCAGCTAGGGAAAGATTGAGCCTGTCTGAACTGGCCACGGCTGAGATTTCAGCCGCGGGGCGGGAACATCCCAAATCGTTCCTTCCAGTCTGAGATGGTATCAAGTAATTAGCGGCCGATCCTCGGTGCCTGGTCTCTTCCCCGCCAGCGAGTCTGGTGTTGGGGAAAAGTGTCCCCGAATCGCGTCAGAGATGTGCTCCAAAGTTCACTCTTCTCTCGCCTTTTTACAACCAACGTTTGCCAAGCACAGAGCCTGCGGGGTCAGCACCACTCCTAGGGCAATCAACCCCTCATGAGCAAACCTTCCTAAGGAAGCAACTAAGACCCTGAGAAGAAGACAAGACCCCAGCACAGGAGATTGGCCCAGGTTTAAGCAACAAACCTGTATGGTAAGGATGGCAATGTCCAGTGGGGTGAGGAAACCTGCTTCATCTAGATGTTGCCCAGTCTAATAGGGTTGAGAGTTTAGACTGCGTGCTTAAATTTTATTTAATTTTGGTAACCACTCTGCCTCGTTATGCTTTGACTTATAATCACTTAAAATCTATCTTTATTGTTCATAAATCTGTTTGTTTGTTCTCCCTGAAGCAGTGTGTTTGGTTTGCAGGGTGTCAGAGGCTCCCCTTGGGAGAACAAGCCTGGTATGTTTCAGCAGATCGAGGGACGTGATCCTTCCCCTCTATTCGACATTGGTGAGGCCTCATCTGGAGTACTGTGTCCAGTTTTGGGCCCCACACTACAAGAAGGATGTGGAAAAATTGGAAAGAGTCCAGCGGAGGGCAACAAAAATGATGAGGGGTCTGGAACACATGACTTACGAGGAGAGGCTGAGGGAACTGGGGATGTTTAGTCTGCAGAAGAGAAGAATGAGGGGGGATTTGATAGCTGCTTTCAACTACCTGAGAGGTGGTTCCAGAGAGGATGGTTCTAGACTATTCTCAGTGGTGGAAGAGGACAGGACAAGGAGTAATGGTCTTAAGTTGCAGTGGGGGAGGTTTAGGTTGGATATTAGGAAAAACTTTTTCACTAGGAGGATGGGGAAGCACTGGAATGCGTTACCTAGGGAGGGGGTGGAATCTCCTTCCCTAGACGTTTTTAAGGCCCGGCTTGACAAAGCCCTGGCTGGGATGATTTAGTTGGGGTTGGTCCTGCTTTGAGCAGGGGGTTGGACTAGACACCTCCTGAGGTCCCTTCCAACCCTGATATTCTATGTTTCTATGAATGTCTTTGTTAAATTGACGGACTCGTTTGCAGCGTCCAGAACTGGGCTCTGCAAGAGGGAGGTTCCCAGGGTTGTGTCTGGGACTGGAGATGTTGGCTAGTGTTATTTGGTTACACAGTCCAAGGAGCAGCTGGCATGCCAGAGGCTGTGTGTGACCAGCCCAGGAGTGGGGCTTCTCGGAGCAGAGCAGGATCAGGCTGGCTCCCGGAGTCAAGGATTGGCGTGGCCCGGTAGATCACCGGTCCGGATAACAGCAGAGGGGAACGTCGCACCGGTGGTGAAAATGGTCAGAGGGGGCGGGAAGTGCTCGCCGGGTGGTCACTTCTCCCGGAGAACTTTAATCCAGTCGACCACCCGCTCGAACCTGAAGTGAAACAAAGGCCGGCGGAAACTAGCCCAGGGTGTGTTGAACAAACACTGGGGCAGGGTGCAGGAAAGGGGAAGCCAGCTGCTACTGGGCTCCGCCATGGTGGCATTGGGGCTTCGGCAAGCTGGCTGAGCAGCCAAGTGCCCCCGGCTCCGGCCGCATCCCGAACACCGTCTGGGACGGGAGACTTTGTATCCGCCCCAGTCCCAAAGCCTTGCGTCTCTGCCCTTCCCGGCTGCATCCCGTCTCTGGCCGATCGCTCTCTTCTCGGGGCGAGTCTGCCCTGGCCGCCCACGACAAGATTTTGCAAGGCTGCCGTCAGCTTGTGGCCAGAACGGCCCCTAAAATCAGTGCCCCCAACAGCTTGGCCTTCGGACAGGCTTGCCGGGGCTGGGAGGCGCGGATGAGACCAGGCATTGGGGGTTTTTTCCACCCGCAAGGCAGAGATGGAAGCTGTTTCTCCGTTTGCTGTTCTGTCTTCCTGGTTTGTCTGGCCTAAAACCAGGATCCGACTTTGACGGCAACTCCTGAGATCTCTCCCCGGCTCTGGGAGGGGAGTGGGGGCTGGTGGGTTAGAGCAGGGGGGCTGGGAGCCAGGACTCCTGTGTTCTCTCCCTGGCTCCGGGAGGGGAGTGGGGGCTGGTGGGTTAGAGCAGGGGGGGCTGGGAGCCCGGACTCCTGGGTTCTCTCCCCGGCTCCGGGAGGGGAGTCTATTGGGTTAGAGCAGGGGGCCTGGGAGACAGGACTCCTGGGTTCTCTCCCTGACTCTAGGAGGGGAGTGGGGGCGGGTGGGTTAGAGCAGGGGGGCTGGGAGCCAGGACTCCTGGGTTCTCTCCCCGGCTCCGGGAGGGGAGTCTATTGGGTTAAAGCAGGGGGCCTGGGAGACAGGACTCCTGGGTTCTCTCCCTGACTCTAGGAGGGGAGTGGGGGCGGGTGGGTTAGAGCAGGGGGGCTGGGAGCCAGGACTCCTGGGTTCTCTCCCCGGCTCTGGGAGTGAAAACTGTCTCTGGGTCTGAAGCGCTCGCCGGGTGGTCATTTCTCCCGGTGAATTTAGCTGGTTGCTACAATCCAACTGCCCGCCCGCTCGAATCCCCGCTGTCCTTGGGCCCCGCGCCGGCCTGCGTGTCTGGCCCAGACAGGGTTTTTTGAAACGGGAGCAGGTCTCCGGAGCCCTTTTTCGACGCTGCAGATGCCCCGTCTCCCAACGCTGCCCCCAGCCCTGACTTTCTGCCGCACCAATCAGAGCATCTAGTTTTCGCGCTGTACTGAACTGTCCGACAAACGACATGCGGACGAGGAGCTCGGAATAGAACGATGTGGGGTTGGCGGGAGGTCTCCCACGAGGGTCCCACCGGGATCTGTTCTGGGTCCGGTGTTGTTTGACCCCTTCCTTCACGACTTAGCTGCAGGAATCGAGAGCTGCAAACTTGGTAAGACGACAACACAAAGCTGGGGCGGGCGGGGTGGGGGGTGGGTGGGTGTTGCCAACACTTTTTGGAGGGCGGAGCTAAAATTCAGAGGGATCTGGATAGAACTGGGCCAAAGTGAAGTTGGCCAGAGACCAACTGTATTCAGGGAAGAAAACCCAAATGCCCCGATTACTCCCGGGGGAATTCTGTGCCCCCAAAAGTAACAATTCTGCGCCCCCTAGTTTCAAATTTTGCATCTTTTATTCTTCAAAATCACAGGATCTAATCACACCTGTTCCAGTTATTTCTGGTCGTTTGATTCAAAATACCCGTCAGACAGCGTGTCTGTAGGAGGAGACCCACCAGGAAAGACTGAGGAAATGCTTTTGTGACAAATCGCTTCCTTACGGGCCATATTAACACAGAGCACTGGGTAAGAATTCATTTAAACTACGATACAGAACCGTGTTCCCCGCCCCCCTCAGAAGCAGGGCAAAGGCTGGGGGGAGTCGGGGGCAGGGAGGGAAGTAAATTGCAGGGAAGGAGCCTGGGGGTGAAGTTGGAGGGTTGTTGGGTTTCATAGAATCATAGAATCATAGAATATAAGGGTTGGAAGGGACCCCAGAAGGTCATC